AGGGATCTCGCCAGCCCAAGGTGAGTGCCGGTCGGTCATGAATATTATCGAGCTATATGAATATTAATTAGCAATGAATATTAATGAGTTCGGTCGCAGTGCAAATATTTTTGGAATTAGACATTATGTTTCACAATTTTAGAAGAGTTTGAATTTAAAAATTAAATATATTCGAAATGCGAATGCTGCAGACTAAAAAACAGAAACAAATAAATTATTGTTGCAATATTAATGTCTATTGTAAAAAGTTAAATAAAACGCATTTGAAACGTTTCAGCCAGGAATATGTTCACGATCTTATTTACTCCAAAAATCGATCACGTAATTATTTGGAGTATTGTTGTAATTTATTATTCGTACCATCAATTTCTAAAACGTATATATTCACAGTAATGAACGAACAAATAAAACTTCCGAACTTTCAAAGTTACGATGTGACATAACTTACTTTGCGATGTTATACACTGGTTATACCAATAATTCCTCTTACTCAGTCATGATGCCAAGCAAAAAATGTTACTTTGTTTTTTTGATAAAGTAAAATTTGACTTAGTTTTATCGGGAGTGGATATTTTTGATCACTCGATCGCTTCGGTAAAAAACACAGCCCACCATGATGTCTGTGACGTATTAGTTGGCCGGCATGTGTCCTTCGACCCGATGGGTCAATAATTCCATTAACCAATCAGAATGCCGCATGGTACTGCCGGTAGAATCCGAAGTTTTCCGAATGGCAGTGATCATAAAAATTACATTGCGGAAGTAAAGCGATGTCGTAGCACGATGTGTTGACATCGATTTCAGTTGAAAACTGCACGATGATTATCGAAAGAGGTGATTAGCTATTTTTAAAAGGTAAAATAGGTCTTGAAAGAAGAGTTCAAATGTATTTTACCAAATCACGCAATAAACACGTTGATTTTTTTCTTGAGTAGCGTAAACTGTCAGATCGTGAACTCCTCTTTGACCATGTTATATCGGGGTGAAATTGATTTTGAAAGAATTTAAGCTTTCAATCTAAAGACTGTGTCTATCGCAGAAAGTATTTACTTACAAACAAAGAGATGATAATTTCACAAAATTGACTAGCCGCTACGTATCGTGCGACTAGGTCTATTGTTTACAAATTATAATCCACGACTGAAGGATGCGTGTCGGTCGGTACATAATTATAATAACAATCGGACAATAGTCCTGGTCGGAAGCATTTCCATGGTGGTCGCTAATTTTGAGTGCCAGTCGGGGCCGACCACCGCCGACCAGCGTGGCAAGAACCCTGGACGACCACCGCCGACCAGCGTGGCAAGAACCCTGGAATGGAATGGAATGGAATGGAATGGAATG